GACCGACAATAACAGCCAGCCAATAACACGCCAGAAGGAACCAACCTCAGGTGCCTTGGTGCCAGATTGTCAGCTCCCCAGCCAGGGATATTCTTTTCCACTGTTGAAGCCATGCAGACTCTTGGCGCAGGGTCCCAGGGCCACGCCCACTCCAGACCACGCCCACTCCAGGCCACGCCCACACCCTGGTCTCAGAGCCAGAAGGTTCAACCCATGGCTGATGGAAAGTGTTCTTAGTCCCCTGAGGGAGCTCTCTGCCTGGATAGTTTCCTAAACGTTAGGGTTTTACAATGGTTTCCGTAACATTTGCATTGTATTAGGAATTATAAAAAAAAAATCTAGAGATGATTTAAAAATCTACTGGACAGGATTTTGGTGTCTTTTGGGGATGCTGCATCTCATTCCATGTGAGCACCAACTGCTTACCAGCAAACACACACACATGGTTCTTGACTTTGGTGACCTTGTTCCTTGTCCCCGGGATAGCACCCCTATCCCCCTCCCAAGCACATTATCCCAAGCTTCCACCCAATCCTTTTTATTGTTATTACTATTGTTGTTATTTTGCAGGTCCTGGGACTTGAACATGGGTGCTGTCTCTGATCTCCTTTTTGCTCAAGGCTAGCCCTCTACCATGTGAGCCACAGTGCCATTTTGGCTTTTTTTGTTGTTCATTGGAGATAAGAGTCTCACGGAGGGCTGGGAAGGTGGCTCAGTGGTGGAGCGCTTGCCTTGCATGCCTAAGGCCCTGGGTTCGATTCCTCAGCACCACATAAGCAAAAAGAAAAAAGCCGGAAGTGGCGCTGTGGCTCAAGTGGTAGAGCGCTAGCCTTGAGCTGAAGAGCTGAGGGACAGGGCCCAGGCCAAGAGTTCAGGCCCCACGACCGACCGGACCCAAAATAAATAAATAAATAAAGAGTCTCATGGACTTTCCTGCCCAGGCTGGCTTTAAATAATGATCCTCAGTTCTCAGCCTCCCGAGTAGCTAAGATTACAGGTGTGAGCCACTGGTGCCTGGCTATTATTTTTACTTACTTACTTAATTGTCTTTTGATGCCAGGCCTGGGGCTTGAACTCAGGGCCTGAGCTTTATTCTTGAGCTTATTTTGCTCAAGGCTAGTGCCCAACTACTTGAGCCACAGCACCACTTCCAGCTATTCTGGTAATTTATTGGAGATAAGTCTTACGGGCTTTCTTGCCCAGGCTGGCTTTGAACTTACAATCCTCAGATTACAGATCTCAGACCCTCCTGAGTAGGTAGGATTACAGCTATGAGCCACAGGCGCCTAGCTCTTTTTATTATATTTTGAGACAGGGTCTTGCTGTGTAGCCCAGAGTGACCTAGAATGCTCTATCCTGTTTCTACCATCTGAATAACTGGGATTACAGTCATACACCACCTAGTCTGGCCTTTAGTTCTTTCAGGAGTCTTCAGGGTGGCCTCAGGCTGGGTAGGCTCACTTCTCTGCCCTCCAGAGGTGTCATTAAACAGGGGAGGAGGAGAGGAGCGTGTGGGGGTCAGTCATGGGGAGAGGTTGGGGGCGAGGACCTCTCTAGCCAGCTCCAGCTCAGGTCTTGAGTAGCCCCTGGGCTTCTTGGAGCTTCTGTAAACCAAGGGAGCTCCCTCCCCAGGGCTGCTGTGTAAAATGCAGGCAGCTCCTGGTTTGGCCAGGGTCCTGGGAAGCAGCATTGCTGGGATGGGGGGGCGGGGGGAGGGGGAGGGCAGCGGATGAGGAATTCCGAGGAAGGAAGCCACCATCTCAGGCTGTGGATCCAGAACTGGCCCAGGAGGGTGGCGAGGTGGGGGCGAGGAGGCCTGCAGGGCCGGCGCTGGGGAGCCGCAGGTGTAGCAGAGCAGCTGCTAGGGTGAGCTTGCCAGTTTTTAGGTCTGCCTGGCACCAAGTATGACCAGATCCAGTTGGTTGAATGAGCATCAGAGCTGTCAGACACCGAGAGAGCGGGTGGGAGTGGCCTTGATGGCTTCTCCGCCCTTCATAGTTGAGACTCCGGGTTTGGGGTTTGGGGGGGGTGGTGCTTAGAGCTTCTTCTCCCCCTGGATCAACACAGCCCCCCCCCCCCCAGGCAAGTCTTAGGGGCCCTGCATTGGCACCCCCCCCTTCTGCTGAAGGTCCTCTTTCTGGGCCTGCTAGACTTGCTAATGGAGACCTGAACCAATCCTTGAATTTTCTGGTCTAGCCTTATCCCTGGGCCTCAGTTTCCCCCCACAGTGAAGCAACAGGGTGACACTACCTCCAGGACTTTGGCTCTTTCTGGCTCCTGTGTCTTCAAGAAACCCAGGGACCAACCCACGATCGCTATCTTTCAGAGAAAGTGAAACCCGGGCTCCAACCGCCGTGGCAGCCCCCACCCCTCGGCTTCCCCTTCCGATCTCACGAGCTTCCCCCATCCTGTCCCCCGAAAACTAGTACTTGGAATTAAGAGTTTCATCTCCTTTTTTAAAATTTTGTCCTTTTATGCCCATGTTTGGGCAGTGGCCCGGGAAAGGTGGACCTGGCCACACTTTTCTGCTGTCCATGTTGCAAGGCACAGGTTGAATGACTTGCCTCAGGTCACACAACACATCAGAAGGCCTGGTTTTCTCTTTCTCTTCTTCTGAATGGCCAGTTCTTCCCCCAAGACCACCCCCCCCCCACCCTCCCCAGGCTGCAGAGAAGAGGCCTGGCTGTGGGCAGTGGACTTAGTATGGGAAAATTTGGTAGGGGATGTCATACTGGAGATGTAATTACTAAGGCTAGAGCCACAATCTCGGGGCTACCAGGCTGGCTCTGGCTCTGTGCCCAGAGCCTAGTGGTTTCTGCTTACAGATGTCCCAACAACCCCAGTGGGAGGGCGGGAAGGGCATTCAACAAGGAAGATGGCTCGCCCCTTTTCTGCCCCCAAAACTTGGTGCTGTGTAAGGCCAATGGACAAGATTGGCAGGGGGTGGGGGGAGGGGGGGAGGAATCCAACGATCCGGGATTGCAAGCTGTCCCTCCTACCCTGGACCAGACCCCTGGAGATGGCACGGACGCTCTTGCTGCCAAGAGAGCTGAGGCTATATTCTACATCACTCATTCTTGGGCGTGGGGTTGCCCTCGAAGAATGAATTCGAAGAAAACAGGAGGGGGAGCAGGCACGTCGTGATGCCCAGCGCCCATTGGCCATGATGAAAACTTTGGTTTTTGGGGTTATGTTCCCAGAAGGCCTGCCCTCCCCCTCCCCCTCCCCCTCCCCACCCACCTCACGAGGTGTTGGCCAATCGCCCCGGGCCCGGGCATAAAGTGGCTGCCAGCCCACAGGGTTCCACGCTGGGAGGTGTTACCCCCAAAGGCGCGGGCCACAGTACGGGCACCCAGCTATGCGGGCGCAGATCACCCAGAGAATACTGCTCTGTAAGTACTTCCTTCCTCCTGCCAGCACCTCCTGGCTGTGCCCGGGCACAGCTGTACCAGCTGGTGAGGAGCAGGGGCGGCACCCTTTGCCTCTTAGACCCAGGCAGGCTTGGCACCAGGTGTTGGAGACAGGAGAGGCCAGGAAGTCAGGCAGAGGCAGGAAAGTGGAAATCGAGACAATTTGGGGGTCTGGGGTGGGAGGTAAGAGGATGAAAAGGGAAGAAGCTGGGAATAAGGAGGCAGGCAGAAGGGGCCATACCTTCTGGAAAGTACCAGAAGTCAGTAAGGGTGTGTGTGGTGGGGGGGGGGGGAATGGAGTAAGGTGGGTTTAGAGGGGGCCTCCTTTTCTTCCTCCTCCTAGCCCCAATTTTATCTTCAGGATCTGGAAGGAACAGAAAGTCAAGTCAGGCCTCAGGGGACCCCCTGGGAACTCCCACAATGGTCTCCCGGCACAAGGAGCCACACCCACGGGGGGGGGGTGTGACAGGCACACACACACACACACACACACACACACACACACACACACACACACGGCCTGTGACAGTGTCCAGGGCCTTGGCGCTCACCTGCTGGAGGAGCTGCACCTGCACCCCAGGCCCCATCAGGGCAGGTATTACCCAGAGGCTCGCGTGGCCCTGCTTGGTACACCTCTGTGGACCAGAGGCCCTGTTCCGCACAGGCCGTGGGCTGCCACCACTGACACCTGTGAGGTGGGCCAAGGTGACCATCTTGTGGTGGCCGTCCCCCGGGGTGCTTGGCCCCAGATCAACTGGGCAGCTGGTCCTCTCAGCACGGCGGCTGGCTGATAGGAAGGGGTGGATGGTGTCATTGCCTTCCGGGCCATTGCGCCACGGGGGGAGGGGGGGGGAAGGCTTCCGACCACGTGGCTGCCCGTGCCTATGGGGGTGGGGGCAATGAGCTGGAACTGCCACCACCACCACCACCCCCCCTTTGCTACTTTCTCAGGGGTTCACAGCATTTCTGGAGGGAGAAGAGGAAAGCGTGAGAAGCTGGGTGCCCTGGGCAGAACTTAGTGTATCTATCAGTGAAATGGGCTAAGGCACTGGACAGTGGGCCTCACGTGGCCCCCTTGGATGGAGAGGCGGGCTCTCATCAGAATGCAGAGCTCGGGGTACCCTCCCCCCCCTGTGGTTCTGACCTGACCCATCCCTGTCCGTTCTACAGAGAGGTCCAGGGTCTCTGGGCAGGCAACCAGCACGGTAGAAAAGTCAGGACAGTGGTAGATGAGTCAGTCTGGGCCACGCTTGAGCTCTAGCTGATGAGGGGGGACCCTGAAGCCACCATCCTGGTACCTCTCTGCCCCACGATGGTCGCAGCCAGAGGAGGCGGTGTGGCGTGTGTCCAGCCCGTGTCCCTGGGTGCGCGCACACAGCAGTGCCCTGCTTCTGCTGGGGGTGGGCGGGGGTGCACTCTCCCAGGACCTCATGAACCTCCACCCTGGGATCCTCACTGCTGATCAGGTGACCCTGCCCCTCTGTGCCCCAGGTCTGGCCCTCGGGGTCCTGCTGCTGAGGGCCGCTGCGGCCATGCGTGGCTGTCCCAGCTCCATCCCGCACCTCCTCCTCCAGCTCCAGAATCTGCTCAATGCCACCGCCGCCAGCGACACCCTCCTGGAACCCTATGTGAGTGCCTGACCCCTGTGGAGGGCTGTGGGGCTCAGCCAGAGAGGAGGTGGCAGATGGGGAAACTGAGTCTGAGTTATCCCAACCAAAGCCCTGAGGGAATTTCCAGACTCCATCCCTCCCTTCTGGGCTCATCTGCTGGCCTAGAGACACCTGGATACAGCCAGGAACAAAACAGTCCAGCGTTCTGGAAGCCCCGTTCCATTCTGCAGGCACACCCTCATTCCTGTACCCCCAACCCATGCAGCCATCCTCAAATCCCTCCCTCCCCACCCACTGCACCCTGACATCCCATAACCTCAGGGTTCTTGGCCTCCCCAGGGGGCCTCAGTTTCCCCATCTGCCCTTAGGGCTGATCAGATAGGGATGTATATTCATCCACGGGCAGGGAAGAGTAAGGGGGATCGTTCATGTGAACCCCCTGATTGCCCTGTTCCTCCCCACCCTGCAGATCCAGCACCAAGGCCTGGACCCGTCCTCCCTCAGGGAACTGTGCCGGGAGTGTCGCGGGGTCTTCCCGAGTGAGGCCGGCCTGCGGGCGCTCAGCAAGGCCAGCTTCCTGAGGACCGTCTACGCCACCCTGGGCCGCATCCTGCACGGCCTGGACGCCCTGCGCCCGCAGTTTTCAGAGACCAAGGATGCCCCGAAGCTGCAGGCCGCCAGGTGGACCGTCCTCGGCCTCCGGAACAACCTCCACTGTGTGGCCTGGCTGCTCAACAGCTCCCTGCAGACGCCCGAGCCCACGCGGGCAGACACGGGCATGTGGGGGTCTCCAACCCCCAGCCCACGCCTCTTTCAAGCCAAGCTGGACGGCTGCAAGTTCCTGTGTGGTTACCACGGCTTCATGCGGGCTGTGGGGACGATCTTCAGGGAATGGGGGGAGAGCCCCCGCCGCAGCCGGAGACACAGCCCCCACCGAGGCCACCTGCACAAAGCCACCCGCAGGACCACGCTCCGGAGCCCGTGGCCCCGGTAGCTGGACATGCATAGTGGACATGACATGCATAGGGCAGGATTCTGTTCCTCACCCCCCTCACCCCCATTTCCACATCTCTTCCCCAACTGCAGAGGTGAACTTTAAGGGGAAAAACGCCTAGGGTGAGGGGACAAGAGTTAGACTATTGGAGGTCCCCCATTTTTAGTGGGGTGGCTGGTCAGGCCACGAGGGCGCGACTTTCCATTGATTCAGGGGTCTGATGACACAAGCTGACTCATGGCTGGGCGGATGGGAGCCCCCCTTTCTCCCCGGCTGCCCGCCCCCCCGCCCTGCCTCTCATGACTGGCACACTTATCCCAGACTTCCTTCTTTCCGTGGTGGTGAGGTTGGGAGGGGGAGGCCAGGGCCTGAGCTGGCCTCCTACATCGCTGCTCAGGCCAGACACCTAGCTGTCTGGGTGACTTCACCTTAGGCACTGGTGACAGGATCCCGGGGAAGGGGGGGAACCGAGGGAGGAGCGTCTAGAAGGATCTGGGTATGGAGCTCATGCTCCAGCTCAGTTCCTACTTGCTGTGTGACCCTAGGCAGGTCTCTTTACCTCCCTGGTTTTCTCTGGGAAGCGTGGGGGTTGGAGGATGATGTGAGATGCCTCACCCTCTCTGTCTGGGATATAGGGACATGGTGCAAAGGAACAAGGGAAGGGTGCAAACCGAATCCCCACCCCCCCACCCCCAGTCCTCCACTGCAGCTGCGCCCCCTGGTGGCGAGACATGGGATTTCCCCCCATGCTGAGATGGTGTGAAACTGCTGGGCAGATTCCTTGGAGACACAAGACTAATTTATTGTTTTTATTTTTTAATATCAGTTTTAATCGGTTTCATATTTATAAGGCTTATTTATGATGTGTATTTAATGGTAATATTTTGCTAACATGTATTTAAACATTTTCCTCGTTTCTAAAGCCACTGTCTACCTGTTGCTTTTTTTTCTGGGGAGGAGTGGGAAGGGGGAGTTTGGGGGCTCAGGATTCCTGGGGGAAGGGTCTTTAGGTGGTTAGAAATGTCCACATCCTGGGCTTTGGTGGAGAAGTCACGTGTCACTCAGCTGTGGTGCCAGCCTGAGGCCACTCCTCCTCAGTTACGTGCTCCATTGGTTTGTTTTTGTGTCAGTCCTGGGGCTTGAACTCAGGCCCTAAGCACTGTCCCTGAGGGTTTTTTTTTTCTCCCTCAAGGCTGGAGCTCTATTCCTTGAACCACAGCTCCACTTCTGCCTTTTTTTGGTGGGTAGTTGGAGATAAGAGTCTCGTGGACTTTCCTGCCTGGGCTGGCTTTGAATGGTGATCCTCAGCTCTCAGCCTCCTGAGTAGCTAGGGTTACAGGCGTGAGCCATCTGGGCCTGGCTGTTACATGCTTTATGGCAGAGCCCTGGGCCTCCCTTGAGACAGTAGGGAGGTGGGGGTGGCAGGGCTACTGTGGGGGTGTCTACTAACGGGAGTGGTGGCTGTGGTATGTGTATTGTCCATGCTGGTGAGTGTGTGTTTTTCTTCAAGCTCAAAGCCTGGGTGTTGTGTTTATAAGGATGTGTGTGTGTTTATGTGTGTGAGAGTGTGTGTGTCTGTGTGCATGTGAGTCATGTAGATGTGCACTACTATGCAATGTGCTCATGGATCCTTTTGGGGGACAGGGACATCTGTGTCTGGAGCTGGCACCCCAAGCATTGCAAGAGGGTGGGTGGGTGCTCACATGGGGTGGGCACTCAGAAAGGACTGGCTAACCAGCAATGGGACAGGGTGGGCATGCACAGTAGGAGTCAGGTGGATCTATGTTCCAAGTCTCATCCATGCCCCTCCCACCGATCTGTGTGACCTTGCTCAGGTGCCTGGGTCTCTGGGCCCTTATTTCCAAATCTGGGGAACAGACAAGATCCTAACTGATCCATACTGACCTTAAGAGACTCGGTATGTGTTTAGAACGACCCTGGAAGCCAGGCACAGGTGTCCCGCACCTGTCACCTTAGGGAGTTGGGAGGCTGAGAATAGGAATATCACAGATCCAAGCCAGCCCAGGCAGAAGAGTTCATCTCCATAGATGAGGACTGTCATTCCAGCTACAACAGAAAGACTAGAATAGACAGATCAGAAGGCCTTCTAGGCAACAAGACCCTCTCCTAAAAATAACCAACAGGAAAAAACGGTTGAGGGTGTGGCTCAGTGTTAGAGTATGTGCCTTGCAGGTGCAAGGCCTTGAGTTCAAGCCCCAGTGCTGCCTAAAACAAAATGAAACAACAAGAAAACTTATTCCTGAGGGGCACAAGGACAACATCCTGGGCTTCCACAGGAGGGGCACCTGTTAGCCAAACATGCTGGCAGAAGCAGGGGGGCTCAGGGTTTAACACCCCCAGGCTGTAGGCATATGATACACTTTGAGTCTTCTTCACCATGTAAGAAGAGGGGACCTGGGCTGGTGAGAAAGTTCAGTGGTTAAGCATTTCCCTAGCATAAGTAAGATCCTGGGTTCCATCCCCAGTATGGAAGAAGAGCACGGCAGTAGAACACCTGGCTGGTAAGCTCAAAGCCCTGAGTTCAAATCCCAGCACCAGAAATAAACATCTGCCCCCCCCACCCCAAAAAACACTGAAGGGAGAAAAGGAGGAAGAAATGGATCTGGATTAGTCCCCACAACACCCCTACTCCCTTGAAGGGGAAGCTGAAGTGGGGTGCCAGTGCGGGCCTCTGCCATGAGTCTGACCCACTCTGCAGAAGAGAAAACTGAGGCGGGGCTCCCGAGTGAACTGAGCTGGCGAGCTGGGCGGCTCATTTGCACCCAGGCTGGTTGGACTTGGGGCTGGAGCATCTTCCCGGCCCTCCAATCCCCGCCTCTGCAGTGTGACCCACAATTGCATGAGTCCCAGAGACACTGAGCTCCGGGGCAAGGGGCAGACAGACAGACAACAGACAAAAGAACCCACTAGGGCCTCGGAGATTGCATGGGCCGGGCCAAGAGAAGGCAGGGCGATGAAGCACAGCAAGAGAAAATCAGGCGATGGGAGTGGCCAGGATGCTGTCTGGAGAGATGACGTCCCTCTGTGGTCTGACTGAGGTGCATAAGAGGCGAGCGGAACGGCTGGGGCAAAGGCTCCCAGCCTTTGAGAGTCAGATTAGGGTGAGGAAGGAGGTCATGATTTACCAAGAAGGCTCAGAGAGGGGAAGCATCTGGACCAAAGCCACAGAGCATCAATCACTCTGAGTCCCAGATTCCCAACTAGACTCTGTGTGTGTGTGTGTGTGTGTGTGTGTGTGTGCGTGCGTGTGCGTGTGTGTGTGTGTGTGTGTGTGTGTGTGTGTGTGTGTGTGCTAGTCCTGGGGCTTGAATTTAGGGCCTCGGTGCTGTTCTTGAGCTTTTTTTTTTGCTCTAGGCTAGTGCTCCTTTGAGCCACAGCTCCATCTGCGGCTTTTTGGTGGTTAATTGGGAATAAGAGGGTCGTAGACTCTCCTGCCTGAGCTGGCTTCAAATCTCAGTCCTCAGATCTCAGTCTCCTGAGTAGCCAGGGTTACAGGCCACAGGTGCCTGGCTGTTCCCTGTCACCGATGCCAGGTTACCTTGCCTCTCTGTCCAGGCTTCCAGGCCAAGGGAGACAGAGGAAGGAAGCCTGCCCTCTCCAGATCATGCCCCCCGCCCTGCCCTGGCTTCCCCTGGCACTGCGTGCTGCCCCCTGAGGACACTGGCCCCAGGGGGTGCAGGGAGAAGGGCTCTCCTTGGCTTTGGCTGCTGGAAGCTGAGGTGGGGGTGGCAGCCATGGAAAGCTGTGCACCCTCGGCTTCCTGGAAGGGAAGAGAAGCTGGCACTGCGGTGGGTACTGGGGTTGCCCATGGAGAGGGCAGAGGAAGATCTGTGGGAGGGAGATTGGAAGCCTGGGGTGCCTCTTCCCTGGGCCCCTCACCTGGCTTTGGATGGGATTGAGTGAAGGTGCAGCAGAGCCCGATGTGTCTGATGAATGGCAGAACTCTACCCCCAGGCCAACTGGCCCCTAAGACCACGCTACCCCAGCCCTAAGACACCCTGTGCCTCAAAGCAAACACATCCTTTCCCGAAGCCCCATGCCACCTTTCTGTTTCCCTTCCCTCGAAGGTTCCAGATTCCCAGCCTATCACCTTGTTTTCCATCCCTCAGGAAGCCTGGGGTCTCCCCCACCACCGATGCCCCCTTTTCTCCCCTTTGCCAGCTGGGTTCTAGCTCCCTGGAACTAGTTCAAAATCTGACTTTTGGTTGGGCACTGGTAGCTCATGCCTGTAATCCTAGCTACTCAGGAGACTGAGATCCTCAGCCAGCCCCAGCAGGAAAGTCAGTGCAACTCTTATCTCCAATTAACCCCTGGAAAACTGGAAGTGGTGCTGTGACTCAAAGTGGTAGTGTTTGAGCAGAAGGGCTCAGGGACAGTGCCCCGATCCCAAGTTCAAGACCCATGACTGACAAAAAAAAAAAAAAAAGAGTCTCACAGACTTTTCTGCCCTGGCTGGCTTTAAACCTTGATCCTCAGACCTCAGCCTCCTGAGTCACTAAGAATTCTAGGTAGCCAATTTTGACTTTACTTTTGGTTATTTTTAGTGATGGAAACCAAACTTAAAGCTTCAAGCAGGCCAGACAAGCACTCTACGCCCAGTTTTTCTTGCTTTGTTTGTAACCCAGAGTTCTTGCTGGACTTGAACTTGCCAACTTCTTGCCACAGCCTCTGAATGCTTGTAAGGATTGGTGAAAGGAGACCGTCATGTGGTTCAGGCAGAGAAGAGTTCACTTGGGAGAGCCAAATGGCTGGATCGCACACGAGAGCAGGACGTACTTCGACGGATGGTAGAGAGGAATTATATAGGGGAGGGCAAGAAGAAGAAGTGATTGGTATAGGTAAAAAAGTGACCTCAGAGCCTGGAGTCCCTCCCACTGCAGCCATGTGTGCCAATGACCCGGGTGACAGGTGCTGGCAGGGACTTCTAGGGAGGGCCATGTGCAGTTTTGCACATACAGAGAGCAAAGGGAAGGGGTCTGCGTGTGCTTGCTCATGGAGGAGTCATTTCCAACAACCCTCCCTCCCCAGACCTAACATCCCAGCCTTTTGATCGTTATACAGGGGCATTGATTCTCTCTGGCTACTTCCTGCTGACAAGGGGAGTTGACCTTAGAGGCAGAAGGCAGAGATGCAATCCCATCCGGGAGAAGGCAGCAGTAACAGTTCCTTGGTGGTGAACATGCATGTGTGTCTTTCATGAAATCTGAAGGTCTTACAAGACAGGGGCTGAATAATAAGACAAGAAAAGGTCTTATTAGAGGGTCTACACACAGCAGAAGGGAAGGCAGCCACTCAAAGGATCTGATACCATCCTTTTTTATCTGTGTAGTTCTTCCCAACTGACTTTGGTTGGATCCTCGTCCCCAGGACTAGCTCTGTCCCAGTGGGTCTAGGAGGTCTCTTCTTTTTGCTGGGAGGTCCCATTTGGCGTTTTTGCTCGTTGCTGGGATGGCACGTCCCACTTGGCTGATGGCATGCCCCACACTGGGTGGGTGGGGGTATGTGTATGACTGACAGATTAAATGAGAGGTTTTCTGGTTTTGTTTTTTACCAGTCCTGGGGCTTGCCTCGGGGGCTGGGCGCTATGCCTGAGCTTCTTTGTGTTCAAGGCTACTATTCTACCACTTGAGCCACAGTGCCACTTCCAGCTTTTTTTCTGTGTATGTGGTACTGAGGAATGGAACACAGGGTTTCATGCACACTAGGCAAGCACTCTACTACTAAGCCACATTCCTAGGCCCTAGTATAGTTTTTAAGCAGGGTTTACCTGGAAGTTTTTTTTTTTTTTGGTCCTGGGGCTTGAACTCATGGCCTGACTGCTGTACCTGAGCCCCTTTGTTTAGAGCTCTACCACTTGAG